TGACTCACGAAAGATTCGATTTATCAAATCCATAAACGAAGCCGCTGCATTGGTTAGCCCAAACAACATCACTAAGAACTCATAGTGGCCATACCGCGTACAAAATGCCGTTTCCTGAATATTCTCCTCCTTCACCTCAACTAGTGATAACCCAATCTCAATTCAATCTTAGAAAAGCAATAAGACCCTTTTAACTGGTCAAACAGATCATCTACACGAGGTTATGGGTACTTGTTTTTAATAGTTACTCGGTTTAACTTCTGGTAATCGATGCACAATCGCAAGGTGCCATCCTTCATCTTAGCAAAGAGAGCTGGTACCCTCCAAGGTGATGTACTTGGGCAAATGAAGCCCTTATCTAACAACTTTTGGAGTTGAATCTTCAACTTATACAACTCGGCAGGTGCAAATCGGTGCCATAGAAATCGGTGCCACGTCGAGCACTAAGTTAATGGAGAACTTAATCTTTCGATGGGGTCGCAAACTAGTAAGATCTTCAGAAAAGACGTCCGGGTATTCACAAATTATCCTCGACAATTCAACTCGGACCACATAAATCTCACTACTCAAGAAAGCTGCATGAAGACAACTACGCTCACCCTGACAGCGTGAATCATATACTGGTGACAAAACTCTATCAGCTCGGTCCCCCAGAAAATAAAAATAGTCCCCACTCGAGGTGTACACCGTAACTCTTTGACGGTAACAATCTACAACAGCACGGTATGAAGACAACTAATCCATGCCTAAGATGACATCGAAACTCGACATATCTAACAATACAAAAGAAAAAAGAAGTCGGCGGCCGACAACCTCAATCTCACAACCGCTACATCCCTGGTCCATGACAACTTACCTCCAACTGGTGACTCTACCCTGAGTAGAGATGTTAACTGAGCCACCTCTAATCCTAAAACTGATACGAATGTAGATAAAATGAAGGAATGAGATGCACCAGTATCAATTAGTACATTGGCAATAGAATTGAATAGTAGAAAGTTACCACTCATAATAGAGGGTGTTGACAACTAATCTATGTGGTAATAACGTACACACGCCCGGTGAGTCTCTACTCTACCTGCTCACCCCTCGAAGCATAAGACTCGTAAACTGATTGAATAGAAGAGGCTTCTTACATGGCCCTCGAAACTTGTGCAGATTGGGTAGACTGATGGCTCTATGTCTTCTTCGAACCAGACATACCAGATGTGCCACCTGCCTAAGGGCAAAACCTCCTCATTTTTTTTGGGCATACGGAAATAGTAAATGTAGCATATCTTTAATCAATTATTTTATGTTTTCTTTTATTCAAAATTTAAAAATAATGTACGGGAAAAATTTATAACTAAATTAAGGAAAAATTTATTCATAACGACATTATTTTACATCTATATAAATACTTAAAAAAATAAACCTGAAATAAGTAGTCAATATAAATATTATACATTAAGTAAAAAAAAAGTGGTTAGTGATAAGGATCCTAGTTCAAATGCATTAGCCACAGCTTCAGCAGCTTCAGCGATGGCTTCTCCAGCTATCAAGAACAGAGCTTTAGCTTCAGCTTGAGCTACATATGCATCATGTAGTCAATTAGAAATTGGCTAGCTAGTTGTTAGGAGTTAGTTACATTGTTAGGGGTTAGTTATCTGCTTAGCTCAGCAGTAGTTAGTTTACTTTCTATAAGTACAGCTTGTATGTAATATCAAGATTAATGATAAGAAATGATTTTTCCACATGGTATTAGAGCTTTGAAGCTCTCACGAGCATTATTGGGTTCTTGATTTCAGTTTATCAGTTCTTCCAAGACTCTTCAAAATTTTCAATCATTCTTCAAAGTTCTTCCATAGCTTCAATCTTCTTCAATGGCTACCTCAAATGCTCTTCTCTCAAATCTTAGTCTCCTTATTTCAAATCTCAACTCCTTCATAACTGTAAAGCTGGATTCTTCAAATTTCATCATTAGGAGAAGTCAATTTCTCAATATTTTGCGTGCTACAAATTTGCCAGGGTTTGTTGATGGTTCTCATCCTTCTCCACCATTAACGATTACAAATGCAGATGGAACCACAACAGTTAATCCAGAGTTTCTGCAGTGGAAAGAAATCGATGCACATCTATTGAGTTGTCTTACAGCTACACTCACACTTGTGATTTTCTCTTATGTTTTGCATCTTCAACATAGTGCAGAGGTTTGGCAAGTTCTGTCAAAACGATTTACTACATTGTCTCGTAGCCATATTCATCAACTGAAAAATCGATTGACTAACATGACCAAGACTTCTCAGACAATTGAAGAATATCTGAATCAGATTAAAGAGTTAGCTGATCAACTTGCACGTGCCTCTTCTACTGTAGATGCAGAAGATCTAGTTATTCTTACACTAAATGGTTTACCTGAGGAATTTGATACTTTCAAAACCACAATCTGAGCCAGGTCAGAAGCTATTTCTATGGAGGAAATTTCATCCCTTCTATGCTTAGAATCTATTCACATTCATTCTAAGATCAAGAAAATTAATGCTCATGAACCTTCAGTTGCATATGCTGCTTCTTATGGTTCTTCTCATGATTTTTCTTCTCAAGGCCGATCTTTTTTCAAAGGTCACAGAGGTGGTTCTAGACATGGCTACTGAGGTCATTTCTCTTCTAGAGGCAGAGGTAGACAATCGTCAGCAGTCACAATCGCAACTTAATTTGTCAGATTTATGGAAAAACTAATTACTTAGCTCTGGAGTGTTGGCATCAATTGGATGACAATTATCTTCCTGTTTAAAATCAACAGCCACAGCAATTTCAAAATCAGTCATGGCAATCTTCATCCCAATCATCTTCTGCTTATTCTGCCTATCAGCCTTCATCACAATTATCATCTGGTTTTTCAAACACCAGAGCTTTTGTGGCTTCTGCTTCCTCTCCACCTCCGTATGATTCCTTCCCTTGGTATCTTGATTCTGCTACATCTGACCATATGACTCATGATTTATCTCATATGAGTCTTCATCAACCTTACCAAGGAACTAATCACGTTGCCTACTCCATATCATACTTTTAAACTCAACAAAGTCTTGCATACTCCTGTTGCTTCCAATCTTGTGTCTGTGCACAAACTTACTAAAGATAATAATTGTACAATCACTTCTGATGATTCTTCCTTCATTGTTCAGGACAAGCACACGAAGGACATCCTAGACAAGGGATTAATTCACATGGTTTATATCACTTTCATGCATCCAAGCCTGCTTGTTCTTTCTCTGCTGTTGCTGTTCTACCTTCATCATTTCATTCTCATAATGCATTCTGCAATTCAACTACCAATAATGTGTCTACCACTGTTTGGCATAAGAGATTAGGGCATCTATTCTCTCTCAAGTTCAATAAACTCAAACAATTTCCTTCTTCCACTTGTAATAAAGTCAAGGATGATGATTTTACTTGTGTTCACTGTTATGTATCAAAAAGCCATAGATTACCTTTCAAACTGTCTAACTCTACTGTTCAAAAACCTTTTTCTCTCATTCACAGTGATATTTGGGGACCTTTTTCCCTTTCTCTTTCTGGTTATAAATACTATGTACTCTTTGTTGATGAATATAGCAAATTTACTTGGCTTTAGCCATCGTGTTACGAAAGTGAAGTGTTTGATAAATTTGTAGAATTCACAACTTATGTTGGCAACCAATTTTCCACTCACTTGCAAATTTTTCGTACTGATGGAGGCACTGAGTTTATTAATTCATCTATGACTCAATTTTTCAACTCTCATGGTATTCTCCATCAAATTTCTTGTCCCTATACACCTCCTTAAAATGGAGTCTCTAAGAGAAAATATAGACACATCACTAAGACTGCCATTGCACTACTTCATCACTCTTCTATTCCTATTAAGTATTGTTCTGTAGTTCAACTACCAATAATGTCTCTACCACTGTTTGGCATAAGAGATTGGGGCATCCATTCTCTCTCAAGTTCAATAAACTCAAACAATTTCCTTCTTCCACTTGTAATAAAGTCAAGGATGATGATTTTACTTGTGTTCACTGTTGTGTAGCAAAAAGCCATAGATTACCTTTCAAACTGTCTAACTCTACTGTTCAAAAACCTTTTTCTCTCATTCACAGTGATATTTGGGGACTTTTTCCCTTTCTCTTTCTGGTTATAAATACTATGTACTCTTTGTTGATGAATATAGCAAATTTACTTGGCTTTAGCCATCGTGTTACAAAAGTGAAGTGTTTGATAAATTTGTAGAATTCACAACTTATGTTGGCAACCAATTTTCCACTCACTTGCAAATTTTTCGTACTGATGGAGGCACTGGGTTTATTAATTCATCTATGACTCAATTTTTCAATTCTCATGGTATTCTCCATCAAATTTCTTGTCCCTATACACCTCCTTAAAATGGAGTCTCTAAGAGAAAATATAGACACATCACTAAGACTGCCATTGCACTGCTTCATCACTTTTCTATTCATATTAAGTATTGGTTTGATGCCATTTCTGCAGCCACTTATCTGATTAATGGAATGCCTAAGTCTAAGGTTTCTCATTCTTCTCCTTATGAATTATTGTTTCACAAATCACCTGATTACTCTTTCATGTGTGTGTTTGGATGTCAATGTTTTCCTTGGCTTAAGCCACACACTTCTCATAAACTTCAACCTAAATCTACTTTGTGTGTCTTTCTTGGTTATCATCCTTCTTACAAAGGATATAGGTGTCTAGATCCTTCTTTTGGTAAGGTTTATCTGTCTCGACATGTCATATTTCATGAGAATATTTTTCCTTTTGTTACTATTTCTTCTCCTACTCCTACTCCTACTCCTATTTCTTCAATTTTTATTGATTTACCTCTTCCTCCTCCTTCTATTAATTGTCATTCTATGATTACTCGCTTCAAAGCTCATCCTCAGGTTTTCATGGCTTCTTCATCCTCATTTTCTAACATTGAGCCATCTACTTATCAGCAAGCTCTAAACTCCTCTGTTTAGCACACTGCAATGTTGGAAAAATACAATGCTCTTCTTGCTCAAGGTACTTGGTCTTTGGTTGCTTTGCCTTCTTCTAAATCTGCCATCGGCTGCAAATGGGTATTCCGCATTAAGCACAATTCTGATGGTTCTATTTCTCGTTATAAAGCTCGTTTGGTTGCAAACAGGTTTATACTGAAACCTTTAACCCCGTTGCCAAATAGCCTACCATTCACATCTTATTGTGTGTTGCTCTGCATTATCATTGGCCTCTCAAGCAACTGGATATTAGTAATGCTTTTCTACATGGTACATTGAAAGAAGAAGTCTACATGACACAGCCTCCAGGCTTCACTAGTCCATCTCATCCCAATCATGTTTGTCTCTTAAAGAAGGCTCTCTATGGTTTAAAGCAGGCTCCTCGTGCCTGGTATTCTACCATCTCCAGTTTTTTACTGTCTCAAGGTTTTCTTAATAGCCAGTGCGACAATTCCTTATTCATTCAAAGGACTTCTTCCACTATTACTTTTCTTCTTGTATTTGTTGATGACATCTTGGATACTGGTAATAGTTGTTCTCATATTCAATCTATTCTTGCTCAAATGCATACTGCCTTTGCCATGAAAGAGCTAGGGGATATTTCCTATTTCTTGGGTATATCTATACAAGCTTGTGGTGATTCCTATTTTTTATCTCAACACAAATATGCTTCTAATATCCTCATTAAAGTTGGTATGACCACTTGCAAGCCTTGCAATTTCGCTGTGTTAGTTAACCTTTCTTTGGCTCCAGACTCTGCTCTTCTCTTCGATCAACCTGAGCTTCATCGCAGTATTGTTGGTGCACTTCAGTACCTCACTATCACCAGGCCTGACTTGTCTTTCTCTGTTAACCAATCTTGTCAACACATGCATGCTCCCACTATTGCCCATTTTGCTGCTATCAAGAGACTGTTACGGTTTGTTAAAGGGACTTTAGCTCATGGGCTCACTTTCAGTCCTAGTTCTTTTGAACTTCAGGCCTTTTCTGACTCGAACTGGGCTGGTGATGTTCTAGATCGTCGCAGCTCTTCAGGCTATTGTGTGTATCTTGGGTCTAATCTTATTTCTCAGTCTACTAAAAAGCACCAATTGTCTCAAGATCCTCAATCGAAGTTGAATATAAAATGAAATTGTTTGAAATATAAAATGATTTATTTATTTATTTATTAATTTTTAAAAATACAATTTTAAAGAAAACAAAGAAACTATATTTAAAAAAAAGTACAAAAACCAAACATAAAATATAATACAAAACATAAATAAATTATAGGATTTTTAAGAAGTGAGACTCACAAACAAAATTTATAAAATCTTGTCTATTCGTATACTTTTTGTGTATATTTTTTGTATTTTTAATTCCAAGAATGACATTGAAATAGTTGCACTTCTTGCATTAAGTCCATCTAATAGTTTTAGCAAACACAAATGTAATAAATTTTGTACACAAAACACAAACAATTGTGAGACAAAGTATCTAAAAAAAATGAAATCAACGTTCAATGATAATGTAGAAGCATACATGACGTTTTAATTAGAGATATAACTAGATAAATTGTCATAGAAGATGAAGACAACATTTATTCTTCATCACAACAATTACATAACTGTAGAGACCTCATTTTTGATCGTCCTCAAGACTTGGACGTCATCGTTTAAACACCCGATGATTGTGCTTACTCATGTTCGTTTTGAGTCCTTGAAAGTCTCGGCTGAGCGCCTTGCCTTGGAGCCTCTAATCTTGTCTGTTTTGTGCTTGGTTGTGGGCCAAGAGCTTGTTGCTTCACTTCTAGAGGAGAGGGTGGCCTGCCGGCCATCCCCCTAGCCTGCCGGCCATGGCTTGTGCTTGTCGGCCACTAGTGGTGGCCGGTCAGCTATGTTTATGGCCGGTCGGCTACATTGATGGCCGACAGTCATTTTTTCCCTTTTTCAGATATTTATTTGCCAGTTATGCCAGCTATTGTTCACTGATGCTCATCTCTATACACGTGTATGGAGGGATGAATACAAGTCTTTAGCTTGATTTTCTATATATAGGGAGGTCTCTCCCCCATTTTGAGAGGTTAGAGAATTTTGAACAAATTTCTTCCTCTCTCTCTAGAATTCTATCTCTCCTCTTGTTTTATGCTTGAAAGTTAGAATTCTCTACACATTTGCACACTAGCCCTTAACCAAATTGGACCACCTTCGAGCTGAGGCCTTTTGGAACCTATTTTGGGCTTTTGGAAGGTTGTTTGAGCCTAGGAGAGTGGCTGTTTTGTGCTGTGCTTCAATGGTATAAGACTTACCTTATTTAAGCTCTTTGTATATATTTGTTTTGCCATCTCTTTATGCTGTTTTGGGCCTAGTTTTTAACTACAAAAAGTTTTGATTTTTGGGCCTTAACATGTTGGTTTGAAGCCATTTTGTGCTAAGGGTTTGTCTACCCTTCTTGTTGTTTATTTGTGAAGCTTTTTGCACCATCTTTTAGCATGTTAAAACCAAAATTTTTGGGCCTTTAAACCACTGAAATTTAGAGTCATTTTAGTGGTAAAAAGTATGTTTTGAAGTCCAAAAATGGAGGGGTTAGCCTCCCCTCCTTGTGTCTCACTTTCATGCCTAGTTAGCATCACATGATAGCATGTTTTTGTGGTTTAACTTAGTTTAATTCTAGCATATGTTTGCCTCTAATTTGGCATGATTTAGCTCTGTTTTGAGCTACTTTGGTCATGTGGGCCTTGTTTTGTATGGTTGTAGTGCAAATGGCCTCACTAGTTTGGCATTTTAGGCCTCTAAACATGTTTTGCTTGGAATGATTGCATGTTATAATGTCTTTTAACATGTAATTTCAGTATATATAGCTCTGTCACATGCTCATTTGTTTCACTCTTTCATTGCTTTTTAGAGTTGCTTTTGAGTCTTGTTTCCAAGCTAACATGTAAACATGCTTTTCTAGCCTTTTGCGCCTTAGTCTCAACATGTTTTAGTCACTGTTTTGGCATATTTTAACTCTGTTAAGAGCTAGTTTGGTTAGTTGAGACTTGTGTTGCATGGCTATAGTATAATGGTCTTCACTAGCTTAATGAGTTAGGCTCTTGAACATCACTAGCATGAGTTGCTTGCATGATTTAATGTCATTTTGCATCCTATTTCAGCACTGAAATATCTGCAAGCTCCCTCTATTCTTCACTCTTTACTTTGTTTTGAAAGTGGCTTTGAACCCCTTGTTGGCTTGAATGTGAAATTGAGACCCTCATGCCTAATGGTTTAATTCCTTGAGGAATTCATTACCAATAGTATGAGGCCTCTTTTATGCTCAAGGTACTTGTGGTTTAAGCCCTCTTTCCATTAGAAGACGTTCACCTTTTAGACTTAATCGTTTAAAGGACTAATCGGTAATGTAAAATGTGTAAACAAACTGAACAAAGTAAAACTTGAGCAAGATAAGCATGTTGTGTTGCATTGCATGTGTTCAAATTAGACGTTAATCCGAACACAAGAAACTTGGGACGTTTCATACTCGAAGTGATGAAACGTGCCAATTTTCTTAGTCACCGTCACCCTTGATCATGCATGATAGGGTGGTGGTCCTTTGAGTCTTATTTGTGCATTCATTGACCTTGTACAAGCTTGGTTCTCTAGCAATCATGCATAAAAAATGCTTGGTTAATGGCTTGAGAGCCAAGAGCTACACTCCTTTGAGCTTGAGAGATGATAAGGAGGGTAGCAATACATATATTTCTTAAAAATGCATTGCTTTGCCTCTGTTTGCTCTATGTTGCAGCAAAAGAAGAAGTCCAGAAAGTGGGTGGCTGACCGGCCACTTAAACTAGCCGATCGGCCAGTTGAGGTGGCTGACAGCCACTTTTTGTAGCCAACCGGCCACCAGTGAACTTTTACACAAATGTGTTCCTATGTTGAAGCAAAGGCAATCTGGAAGTTGGTATAGTTTTCAGAGATCAAAGCGAGTGCAAACAGAGGCATCCGATGGCAAGGCAAGGGCATTTTCGGGTGAAGCAACCGAGCATGCATGCATCCCTCGTCCCTTAAGGTCGTTTAATCGCTTTATTAGTTAGTTAGCGTAGCTAATTATTAAATTCAAGTGTTGCACTTAATTAGCTTAGCGTAACTAGTTATTCAATTCGGTTTGTAAGAATTAGCTAGAATGGTTAATTAGTTTCGTTTTGTAATAATTAGCTTAGCTTAGTATAGTTTAGCTTATTCATTCGGACCCTCCTTCGCGAGGGCGTAATGTTGTAATAAGTGTGCGTATGTGTGTGCATATCTTCTAACCCCACGTCTTTCTCCCTTTTATTTATCCGTTTTCGATGGTTAGATTAGGGATCATTTTCAATTAGCATACCTTATGCTTGCATGTTTGCATCATTCATTTGTCTTGCATGCATCGAGGCTCGGTGCATCATTTAAACTGCATTCTCAATTCAATACTTATTTGAATACGTGTTTCAAAGCATGTTATGAAATTGTATCGTATACCATATTAGTAGCCGAGCCTATTAATCGCATTATCGCACGTGTTGCATTAGACACTTAACATAGTTAAGATCATGCATTGTTTCTAACTAGCTTTTGTTTTGGCTTGGAGTACTCGATAAGCTTTTACGCTTTAGCGTATTGCATGAGTGTAATTACCATAAATGCCATGTTTTGCATGCTTGCCATGAGGCAATTTACTTAAATGCTAAACTGCATGAATACTTGTAGATGAAAGCTTTGTTGCTTGAATTGGAATAGTTCAACGAATGTATGTTTTAAGCCCACTTTGCGAAGTGGCAAATCATGTTTTAAGCCCATCATGTTTGATGGCAAATCCGCGTTTTAGCCCACCTAAGGGTGGCAAATTCAAACCATTTTTGAAAACAAACACGAGTTGAATTTGTTCAAATTCTTGCGATTTTAGTCTATACTTGCTTGTGTACGTCACATAGTAAAGTTAGCTAAATAATCGGATAAGAACACATGAGGTTTATAAAACATCATATCATGATTAGTAGAGGCCGTTCTTTGATCGGGCGAGCGGGAGTGCTCATTTCAGGACCTTCCCCTCTCGTGCCCAAGTTCCCGAGCCGAGACAACTTTGGTGATGATGGACACGTGGCCTTTGGCACAAGTCAGGGTTTCCTAAATTTTTCAAAAATAAAATATTTATGTGGCGACTCTGTAATCTGGCAAAGCAGTCCAGTTTTGGCATTATTTGATCTAAAATCAATTTTCCAAAATGACTTGCCGGATTTGACTCTTTGGTGTTTATCAGTTTCACATTGCACTTTGTGAGATTAGATTCAGAACCGTGACAGGAGTCCGAACTGTAGGACCAATTCGAGCTCTCCGAGAGGAAGGCACGAAAAAGTCGAGTCCACAATAACTCAATATATAATTTTAATGTCTCTCACTCTTCCACACGTTCAATTCCCTATCAATATTAGAATGAATGCATGAATCAAAAAAAAAAAAAAAAAAAAGAAGGAACATTTGAGAAGACAAAGAGATGTGGTTTGGGACCTTTCAATTGCTGAATTCTATTAATTAATAGTTATTAGGTTTCAATGATCGAGCTTTTAATATTTGTTAGCCATTAAGCTGAGTTCTTTGGTTTCATCTATATTCACTTGATAATTTGAGAGTGGATACATGTCAAGCTTTTACGCAAATACTTGATTAATAATGAAATGCGCAGTGTAATTGTTCTCGTCGTTTTTTTTTTTTTTTTTGGCAATTGCAACTTGTTATTTTTTAATAAGAATTTATATATTTGTTAGATATTTTTTTGATGCACAAATTATTTTTTATAGTGTGATTTTTTTTATTCTTTTTAATTTTTTTGCAATTGCAACATGTTATTTTTTAATAAGAATTTATATTTGTTTTAGATATTTTTTTAACATAGAAATTATTTTTTTTTAGATTTTAATGAAATGCACAATGTAATTTTTTCTTCTTTTTTTTTTCAGCAATTGCAACCTGTTATTTTTTAATGAGAATTTATATTTGTTTTAGATATTTTTTTTAATATACAAATTATTTTTTATAGTGTAATTTTTTTCCCTCTCTCTCTCTCTCTCTTTGAAAATAGAGCATGTCATTTTTTTAATGAGAATTTATATTTATTTTAGATATTTTTTTAATATACA